TCTGTAGGTATAAAGCCCCTCCAGCTCAACGGTATCCAGCATCGCCATCTAGTCGCTCTTCAAGTTCTCCCCCTCACACTCCGAACAAATCCACCGCTCTTCCACAGTCCTTTCGCCTCACGCAGCCGCTCTAGCACATACGTCATGTTCTCCTACAGCGCGCTGACTATTCTCTCGGCACTCGCATTCAGTGCTTTCACCTCCGGATTCCCTCTGAACACGCCCGTTGGTGATGCCATGGCAAGTATTGGCATAGCCTCGCGCGATGTGCCCCCCGTCTATGTCCAGGCCATCCGCACGAACGTGGAGGAGGTCGACATCTCTGCCCCCGCCCCCGCTCATGTCCTCCGTAAGTCCGAGTCCACGACCCCTAGCAACACATACATACACACCTCGCCATCTCGCTCACCGCTCACCGCTCATACATGATCTCCACAGGGACTGACGACGCTCAAGAACCGCCGACTGCCGGTGCCGAGCTGCAAGACACGTACACCCGCGCCCTGGCCGCGCTCCGCTCTCTCCTCGACCAGGCCGAGAAAGGTTCCATCGGGCCCATCTCCGCCGAAGACCGCGCTGCCATCTTAAATGGGGTCGAGGTACGTGTAACGTCCGTGCGCTTCGCCGGGGCTGCGAGTAGTACAGTATAGGCTGATCATGAGGGCTGACGTCGACGGCGCGTGCGTACATAGCTAATGCTCAAGACCGATGCCGATTCCTTTGTCAACGGTATCGCACCCGCATTCAACACATTGCTCGCCGATAACCGCCGGACCTAGCGTGCTCGGGGTCACCGCTCTCCATCCTCGGACGCGAAGCGGTTCAGTCACTGGCATATACCCGTAGTACGCTCCTCCCTCCTCCCTCCATCACGCATTTGACATGCTCCCCGGTTCCTTCAGTCCCGGTGTATGTGCGAGGGACTACTTATTCGTACGCCCTCCGACCCCATTGTCCTTCTACCCGTTGTTACTTCCTTTGCACGCCGACCTGCGCACCGCTGCCTTGCGCAGCGCGGAATCCGCCGCTCCTTTCACTCGAAGTCCCGTTCTGCTGCCTCGTTCGACTCGGATAAACTTTCCCTGTACGCCCGTCCATATATATCATACAGCCTACTCTGTCGGTGACATGAAACGAGCTGGACGCAGTGACTCATGCGTCGTACGCGCTCCCCCGGCCGCTGCTCCAGCGTTCGAGTCGCTTCGTCACCGCGGCAGGGCTCTGAGGGTTCTGCGCGCTCTTCACCCGTGGCGTGATTCTCCGTGTCGATGGCAGAGGTTGCACGAGGCTATGGAACGCCCCGTGGCCGCTTCTGAGGGAGCCGCCGTTTCTACTACATCTTGGTAAGTCAAGGCCTTGGAGTCGTCGGGTATTACACGTACATCGTAACTATCGCGTCAGCGCTGCCGCTCCAGTTCACTGCTCGCTCGTCACGACTCACCGCCGGCCATGCTTCGACGCTGCAAGACCGTCTGTCGCCACCGTTGCTACCGTTCAATTTCGTCTGGGCACGTTCACCACCATTCGGGTCCTAACCACACCAAAAAGCGATCAGGAAGAATATACCCACGGAGCGTCACGATGTCTCTCCGAGGGCGTATCCGTAGACTGGTTCGCGGCTTGCCTGCGTGTTGTATCGACGGGAGCTAGACAGTCTTAAAGCAGCTGCCTACACGCGAGACAGCGCGGGAACGATGGAGGGCGAGGGCGAGGGCAACACGGCAGGAGAATCCCGGTTCGTACGCATACAGTGGACTGGCGGAGTGGTAGAGCCCTGAGCAGACAGATACTTATCATGGCAGCCATGACCTCAGCAACCTTGAGCTTAGAGTCTCAGCCTGTCTGGTGGAGTTGATCAATAGGGACGCGGACTAACCGCTCGCCTGTGGTCGTAACGGACGCGTCTTCGCCCTCTGTGCGCTGGTCGCGGTGCGAAACTAGAGAAGACAATCAGCTCAGAGGGCTCTAACGCGCGAGAAACACGTACGGAATAGGTCGAGGATGCGGAACATGTCTGGCCACTGCTGCAGCACTTTTCCGTGTACTACGAGCGTCGCGCCGGGATTAATCTGAGACTCGCGAGGAACCAAAAGCAGTACGAGAGGTGCGTATCTATGCTAGCGTCCGCCATGACGTCGAAGTCGTCCCCCAAGTCCTCTGTGCGCACCACAAACTGCGCGCTGGATCTCTCGAGGGCAGCGACGGCCTCGAACTCCTTCTTCTTCTCTGCCAGCTTCGCTACGGCTGCAGTGCTGGAGCTGGAGGCCGAGCCCGGGAGTTGAGAGTGGCGATTAGGAACGACTGAGGCACGCCTCGCGCATCGACGACGAGGATGGATTGCGGGCGGCGGTTATGGCAGGACGCAAGATGACGTCGTGCGCGCGCCTCTCTCGTTTGCACTACGACCACCAACGTACACCAGAACTGGACCGGCTTCGACCGCAGCTGCTCGTCGTCTCTGTCACTGGACGCATGTTTCTTGTCCGCCCTTCGCTGCGGTCCCAAGCTGTGAGCCGTACTGCCCTGCGTCTGACTCACCCGGCCGTCTCACCCTGCTGCCGTCCGTCCATCCTGCAGTCCGAGACGACGTCCTGATCATCATGCGCGCGTCTTCTGTGATAGCGTCTCAGTAATTACTACGTGGATCGACAACGAAGACCGGACTCTGGTGCGATCTTTCCACTCACGGCGCCGACTACATTCTTGACGATCCCTCCGAACACCCTCTCTCCAAACCCGTCGCTGTCGATACACCCCACAACTCGGTACGTAGCTTTCTGCCGCTAGTCGGTGAAGCTGATATGCCATTCCACCAGCTATCGGTGTCTGACATGACGCTCCTCAGGCCCGATGTCGTGCTCACCATCGTATGCAATGCGGAGTTCGCCGTCCCCGAGCTCTGCAGGTATAAAGCCGCTCCAGCTTGACTGTAGCCACTTCTAGTCGCTTATCTCTTCTCCATACTCCGAGCGAATCCACCGCTCTTCCACAGTCGTTTTGCCTTACGCTCTAGCACGAAATCTTCTCCTTCAGCTGTTCGTCTTCTCGACGCTCCCTTTCAGCGTGTTCACCTCCGCTCTCCCTCTGATCACTCCCGCCGGTGACCTGCGCGTTGCTTACGTCTACGGGGTCACGGGTGCCGCCTCGCACGATGCCCCCCCCCCCCGGTCGGGAGTCTCGTCGCTATTCCCAAGAACCTACAGGCAAACATTGCAGGCCCCGCTAACGCCCTCAGTACGCCCAAGATTCCTAGCAATTTGCCCGGACATCGCTTACGATGCTTGCAGCGTTCATCACTCCCAAGGACGTCATTGACGGCAATTTGAAAGGGGTGATTGTTGAGTTAGAGAACGAGCTGACTATTGCCCAGGCCACGGCCCTTTACGTTGTCGGTCAGTCCAAGGAGGTTCTTCTTGATGCGCTCGATAAGGCCACTGCATTTGCGGACACGCTCTGTGTACGTCCGTGCCCGCCGCCGCGGCTGCTATACAGGCTCACTTTGACTGCGTGTAGACCAGGCTTCCTTGATATGGCTGGCAACCTTGTCCGCACTCTCCAACTCCAATCACCCCCAGCGGACCTCAACGAGCTCAACGGCCTCGTGTCCATTACGAATACGTCCCCCTACTCGGTGTCGCCCAAGACGCATGACTATGCCCGAGTAGCCCGAGCCGCGGCGCCCCGTCCCCCATCCCCTAGCATCCATATTTCTCCACGCCCTGCTGCTTGCCATCTCCCAACCAGTGCTCCATCCTCCTCAGCTCTTCACATATCCGTTCTGTCCTCGACGCGCGACACCGTGCCGGCCCTCGCACGATGAAGTCCACCCTTTCCGACCGCATCCTGATCAAAGGCCTGCCCGAGGAGCAAGAAGCCCGCATCCGCGCAGCGATCGTCAAGGTCACACTCGGCCCCTCGATGTTCGCGAGGTCCGTCGGGACGCGGGTCGTGCCCACGGAGGTGGAGGTGTTCCGGCGCGCGAAGGACGGGAAGATGCAGGCGCGGATGGTGTATGAGACTACAGTCGAAGAAGGTGCGTTCGCCGTCCGTTCGTGCCCCGTGCCCCGGGGCAGGAGCGGTGCTGGAACGGAGGGGAATGAACAGAGATGGTTGAGGTCTGACATGATTCTGGCGCGGGCAGACATGCTGAACATTGAAGGGACGATGCATGGCGGGTGCGGGGTGTATATCATTGACCAGTGCGTATACTGCTCTCTTGATCTCTCTTCGTTCTTTACTTTGCATCTTCGCCCTGGCTTTTGCGTCAGCGCGCTGTAGACCGTTCTGCCCTGCGTAGTCCGGTTCGAAGCCGGGCCCTCTTGAGCCTCGTCCTTCAGCAATCCTACCTAGCCATCTCTACTTTCATCGTTCCCTTCACGCACCGCTGATCGCACTCTCACAGATGCTCCTCCGTCGCGCTCATGGTGCTTGCCAGCGCACTCGATAAGCCGATATATTTCGTCTCGAAGACCCTAGATACGACCTTCCATGCACCCGCGCCCGCGTGAGTACCCTCGCCCGCTCGCCTCATCCTCGAGCCATGCTCACCCGTGCGCCGGACAGTGGAGCGAAACTCGAGATTGTGAACACCACGGTCGCGTTTGGCGGGCGCACAGTGTCGGCCGCGACAGAGGTACGTCCTTGTCCGACGCAGTCAAGCGATCTTCCCGTGCGGCGTGGACTGACTCGTCTTGCAGATCTGGGACGTCACGAACAAGCGGCTGTGCATGACCGGCGTGCACAACAAGATGGCCCCGTCCAACCGCCCTGCTAAGCTCTGACGCTTTGGCATAGACATGGTCGGATGCTGCTTTCCTATACCCGGGGCGAACGGCATCTTGAGCTTTGGTACGTGTTGATATGGCATGCCTTGTCTGATGCTCACGCAGTGCGCAGATCTGGCTCTCCATCTACGATCTTGGATACTTACCATTGTACACATCACTACATGCACAACTATCGCACCTTCAAGTTGCTGACTCGGACAATTCCAAACTTCAGCATTGGTCGGGATGGCGCCAGGGCCGTGTAAGCTGGAGACACGGACGCGCTCCAGCACCCTTGTTGCGTATCAGTCCCGACCGGTGGTCACGAAGATATCGACGAGAAGGACGCTTAGGCGTGACATGGGCAGTGGGTCATTGAATGCAGTAGGTTGACGGACGTGCTCGACTCGCCACCGAAGAAGATCAAGCTCCGGTCGAAGGCCGACCAAGTTGTCATCAACGCTCGTCTCTTCACACGCAGACCACGCCGGTACGACTCCCTCTCCGGCCACTGTAGATGCCCTGACGTGCGTTGTAGGTCAACATCAAGGCACGGCAGATGTATGCTGTCGGGGGTTTGCGCGTGCGGTCCTAGGACACCCGGCATGCGGCTATGTGCTCCCGAGGCCGCTCTCACATGCCAGCGGACGACGGGGAAGCTGTCCAGTGTCCGTCCCTTGCCACGCGACGATGTACCCAAGGGACGCGGACTCGACTCGCAGACGTCATCCACGTCCGACGCTTGTGCAATTCGTCGCACCAGACTGGTCTTCGTTCCGATGAGCTGCCAGTCTCTGGAGAGGAAGAAAACAACACGGGGCGCGAGCAGCTCCTGGAGCGTCCAGTCGCGGGCGAACCAGCGGCTTCTGCGGAAGGCTGAGTCGTCGGCACGGGGATTCTGGTCGCTGGGCACGTCGTCGAGAACGGCATAACAGACGGCTGCGTTTTGTACCACGCGAACATGGAGTTGATCGCCTCGGCCAATTCTGCGCTGCTTGTCTTGTCGATGCAGCACGAGTCGATCCAAATGTACCGAGATCCGTGAGCCCGAGCAACGGCGCATGCGCGTCGGATCTTCTCCGACAGCTTAGGATGTTCCAAGCACGAGGTCAGCTCCCCATCGTTGTGAGGAAGTCGCGGGTCCGTGGCACGCTTCCTGAATAGGTTGCAGGAGCTTGCGGACACTGTGGACATTGTTAGCTATGCGCCGATCAGCATGGTCCAAGACCCTCAAGATTATCGAACCGCTTACGTTCCGGTGGACAACGGAGAGAGGCTTGAATACCTCGAAGATCCGTATACGACTGCTCCCCCTCTGCATTGCAAACGTGGGATAGCATTGCATAGGACGGCCGGCCAGGAGGAGGAGGAGGAGGAGAAGGGGGAACATGATCTGCATAATCAACCAGATGCTGATCAGCCGATAGGTTGGAGTGCCAAGTCAAATCTACGAAGTTTCCTGTACTAGTGTCCAGGAGACGGGTCTGTAAAGCTCACTGGTATCGACATATTTGCGAATGAAAGCAAGCGGAGGGGTCGGACGATGACAGGATACAAGTCTATCAGTGAAGCGAGGGTAAGTGGTTAAAGTACAAGTTGAGTGGCGCCTGGGGACCGGCTCGGCGTCTTGGACTTGCCGCTGCCCATCATCCGAGCAGCCCGACCCCGCGGGGCCCCGTTCCCCGTTCCCCGTTCCCCGTTCCCCAGCATCCATCTCTCTCCTCCACACCCTGCTGCTTACCATCCCCCAACTACTGCTTCAACTGTTCTGTCCTCCACGCGCGACACATTGGCGGCCCTCGCACGATGAAGTCCACCCCATCTACCCGCGTCGTGATCAAAGGCCTGCCGGAGGAGCGAGAAGCCCGTATTCGCGCAGCGATCGACAAGATTACAATTGGCCCCTCGATGTTCGCGAGTTCCGTAGGAACGCGGCTCGTGCCCACCGAGGTGGAGGTGTTTCGGCGCGCGAAGGACGGTAAGATGCAGGCGCGGATGGTGTATGAGACTACGGTCGAAGAAGGTGCGTCCGCCGTCTATCCGTGCCCAGGGGCAGGAGAGATGCTGGAACGGAGGGCTATGAATAGAGATGGACGAGGTCTGACATGATGCTCGCGCGGGCAGACATGCTGAACATCGGGCGGACGATGCATGGCGGGTGCGCGGTGTATATCATTGACGTGTGCGTATACTGCTCTATTGTAATCTTCGTCCTTTCCTTTGCATCTTCGCTGTGGCTTTCGCGTCAGCGCGGTGTTGACTGCTTTACCTCGGATATACTCTGCGTCCCTGCGTCATCGGGTTCGAAGCCGGGCCCTCTTGAGCCTCGTCTTTCAGCATTCCTTCCTAGCCATCTCTACCTTCATCGTTTCCTTCACGAAACGCTGACCGTACTCTCACAGATGCTCCTCCGTCGCGCTCATGGTGCTCGCCGGGGCACTCGACAAGCCGACAAATTTCGTCTCGCAAGCCCTGAACACAACCTTTCACGCACCCGCGCCGGCGTGAGTATCCTCGCTCTTGCGAACTCTCTCCTCGACCCGTGCTCACCCGTGCGCTGGGCAGTGGTGCGAAACTGGAGATCGTGAACACCACGGTCGCATTTGGCGGGCGCACAGTGTCGGCCGCGACAGAGGTACGTCCTCGTCCGACGCAATCAGGCACTCTTCCCGTGCGGCGTGGACTGACTCGTCTTGCAGATCTGGGACGTCACGAACAAGCGGCTGTGCATGACTGGCGTGCACAACAAGATGGCCCCGTCCAAACCCGCCGCCAAGCTATGACGCTTGGACATAGACAGGATCGGATGCTTCTTTCCTATACGTACGACATCTTCAGCTTTGGTACGTGTTCCTCTTGCTTGCTTTGTCTGATGCTCACGCCGTTCGCAGATCTAATTCTCCATCGATGATCTTGGATACTTACTATTGTACACATCACTATGCACAACTATGCGCCTCATGACAGATATTGCGGGTTCGAACAAGGGCAAACTTCGGGATCGGTCGGGATCGCGGCAGGATCGCGTAAGCTGGAGACACGGACGCGCTCCAACACCCGTGCTGCGTACCTGTCGAGGGCGACGGTCACGAAGCTGTCGATGAGAAGGACGCTCAGGTGGAACATCGGCAGTGGGTCATTGGATGCACTAGGTTGACGGATGTGCTCGACCCGCCTCCGAAGAATCTCATGCTCTGGTCGAAGACCGGCCAAATTGTCGTCAACGCTCGTCTTCTCACACGCAAACCACGCTGGTGCGACTTCCTCCCCGGCCACTGTATACGCCCTCACGTGCAGTGCATGTCAACCCCAAGGCACGGCAGACGTCCGCTGACGCGGGTTTGCGGGTGCATACACGGTGAGGGTCCTAGGACACCCCGCAAGCGGCTATGCGTCACCGGCGAGGCCAGTGGACGACGGGGAAGCTGGCCTGCTTCGCAGGGCCACTTTGTTGACACATGGTAACTTATTCTGTTCATGTAGATTTCAGGAAGCTGTCCGTCCCTTGCGATGCGACGATGCGGGTGCACCCGAGGGACGCGGATTCGAGTCGCAGACCTCATCCACGTCCGCCGCTCGGACCTTTTCTCCCTGCGCAGGACGTCTCCCCGGCGTTCTCTCATTAACTCGAGTCTCACCGCCATATCGCAATTTGGATCCGCCCGCAGATAGGCTCACCGCCTTTACGTCACCCGCCGCGAGGCTCTCTCTTCCTCCCAGACGAAGACGCCAACCTCCCGCCACCAGCGAAGCCGCCACCGTCTCCCAACACCGCAGCACGCGGTCATTCGCCGTGTCGTGGCCTATGACGGCGCTGCATCAGGCACTGCCCGCCTTCTCCCGCCCACGCCTTCTCTCGTCCGCGCGGTCCTCGAGCTATCTCTGCACCCGCGGTCATTCCGAACGCCTCGACGTATGCAGGCATCGCAGAGTTTGACCCACATGGCTCGCACCCTCCGTGTCCATATTCTCTCTCTCGCCGTGCTCGGCCGTGAGACGACTCTGTCTATCATCATACCCGATGTCGGCCAGAAGCCACACACGACCGACGTCAACGAGGAACCGAGTCAATCTCTCGAGCTTAATCCACGCGGGTCACTGCCTTCTTGCAGATTCCAATTCATTCGTTTACTCACTCAAATCACGCTCTCCGATGTGCCTTCTAGATCTACCCCGCACTGCGCAGCCCTGCGACCATATGCATTGTGCTGTCCCCAGTGTGACCAATGGCAACTACTCGAACTTTGAGCGATCGCGTGCCATGATTGAGATCGACGAAGCCGCCGCCCTAACCTCATCTATCCCCGCCCGTTCGATTTCTTTACCCTCCCGCCCCCCGTGCCGTGCTGTGCGTGTACATATCGATAACTCCGCGTGGTTCATGTGCGCGTGTGTCCGGCCTTCCTACCCTCCCGATCCATCTTCAATCATCCGTGATCGAGGCACAGCGATCTCCGAGAGAAATGAACGCGTGTGCAGGCGTGTGCTCGTAATCAAAGTGCTCGGCTATGTCGCATGTGTTTTTCTTCTAGCGTCGGTCGTGGAGATCGACCGTCCGAGGAGACCGAGTCGCCGACTCTGAACATGCACATGTACATGGTTTGAAGACGCATCACTTATTACTAGGCGGCGCCGTACCATACCGTAGTCAGCTAGTTGCTAGTAGTAGTAGTCTACTATGTACCCATGTACGATACCAGAGAGGGAGAAGAAATTATGGAGGCGAAGAGACAGTACGCTACATGTCTACACTGGCTGTAAAGTACTCTACGTGACCTACTACCGTAGTACTGACCGCGAGACCTGTAAGTACCCGCCTGGAGCCGAAAGCCCGCCATCTACACCATCCCACGAGACCCCAATCTATAACACGAGCACGCGTGCGCAAAAGTGCACCTGCCCCAAAGGCCGCGAACGCTGATTTGCGCTCGAGCATGAAGATAATCCACCAACGCCAATGCAGAAGAAACGATAATATTAATTGCGCCGGACACGTAGTCCGCTCTACGCCGCCCGCTTCGACTTGCTCCGGATCCACTTCCCATACCTGTAGAAGCAGAACGGAATCGGGATCTACACACGTTGCGGCGTCAGCGTCAGCCAAGTCAAGCCCACACCGAGAAGCGGAACAACGCACCAAAGCCAGCGAGATGAATGCCCACACGCTCGCCGCCCACCCGTTCCCCAGATTATGGAACATCGCGGTGATGAAGAGCGGCGTCGCAGCCCCCAGCCCGGACCGAATCACGATCTTGGCGGCGAGCGCGGACGCGACGTACCCCGGGAACGCGTCGATGAGGTATGCGTTCGCCGAGAAGTAGAGTACGACCACTGTGCAAGGGAACGGATGTAAGCACGAAGGGGAAGGGGGAGGAAGAAAGGGGGACAAAGACGCACTTCCGAAGCCGAATGGGATCCCTGCTGAACACGGCCCGACCCAGTTCCCGCCCCCGGGCATGACAGTCGGCGGGCTCGTCCACCCGAATATGAACATCCCTACAATCGAGGTAGCGGCCGTCAGTGCCCAGCGACCACTTCATGGAGAGGAGAGACGCACCGATCGGAATAAACCAACATCCAATCATCATCCCCACGAGCCGATCCTCCGGCTCTGCGTGCCCGCCCTTGGCCGCCGCGCGCCGCAGGTAGTCCTTCTCGAGCCGGGGCGTGACGAACAGCGCGAGCGCGACGCCGATGAGGACCGAGCAGAACATGAGGCCCGTGATGCCGTCGGAGTATCCGTACCCCTCGACGAAGACGACGGGGAAGCTGAAGAAGAATGCGTACTGGGAGGGGCATGAGCATGAGTGTCAGGTGTGGTGTGCAGACTGGCAGGGAGATAGGGAGGGACGTACGAGGAGTCCGTAGATGAGCGACGCATACCCGGACATGAGGGTCAGGATCGGCTCCGTCGCAATCATCTCTGCGTACGCACGACAACAAAAGACGTGCACATCAGCACCAGCACTGGTCGAATACAGAAGAACGAACACATACGGAAGGGCCGGATAGCAGTCTCAACGACGATCTCCTTGAGCGATTTGCGGAAGAGCTCCTGCTCTGTCGTAATGTGCGGGTCGCCTGTCTCCGCTCGTAGCCGCTTCGCGCGCTTCAGCAAAATCGCGGGGGCGTACGTCTCCGGCACGGTCGCGCACAGGCACGCCACGACGCCCGCGAAGATCATGTTGACCTATCAGCGTGTCAGCGACGAGACCGGGGGTAGAAGACGGCGACAGTAGAGACAACGTACCCAGAAGATCCACCGCCAGCCGATGTTCTCGCCGATGAATCCGCCAACGATGGGTCCCAGGACAGGGCCGCTGCACGATTACAACGAGGAGGACCTCGTCGTCAGATTTGA